AAGATAACTGCTTTTTCTTACAGATCTTGCCTTGCTCATATCATCAGAGCATTGCAGCTGCATCATTCACAGCATGGGAATATTTTGTTTCACTGACTAGTGAGTCTGGAAAGGCAGACAGTTTCGTCCAGCAGTTGGCAAGTTTTCAAGGGTGTGTGAGGTTGGCTTTTTTCCCCTTCAGACAGTAAGAGCACGCTGGGAAGACTCGCAGGAGCCAGCTGACGCTGCCTCTCAGCTCTGTAGCTGTATCTGCTCTGCGTGCGGGAGAGGCTCCCAGCTCCACTGGAGTCCTGTTGAATTCCTGCAGCCTCGCTTGGATGTTGTCCTGGTTTTGGCTGACACAGTGTTAATTTTCATCCTAGTAGCTGGCATAGCACTGTGTTTTGGACTTAGGATGAGAAGAATGTTGATAACACACTGATGGTTTAGCTGTTGCTAAGTAGGGCTTACACCAGTCAAGGACTTTTTTTCAGCTTCCCCTGCTCTGCCAGGTGCACAAGAAGCTGGGAGGGGGCACAGCCAGGACAGCTGACCCCAACTGGCCAAAGGGCTATTCCACACCATATGGCATCGTGCTCAGTGTATAAACTGGGGGGAGCTTGCTGGGGGGCAGCAATTGCTACTGGGGGATGGGATGGGATGGGCATCCTTCGGTCAGTGGGTGGTGAGCAGTTGCATCACTTGTTTTTCCTGGGTTTTGTTTCTCTCTCTCTCCCTTGTTGTTTTACTTTTCATTACAATTTTTTTTAAAAAAAAATTTAGTTATTAAACTGTTCTTATCTCAACCCACAAGTCTCCTTACTTTTGCTCTTCTGATTCTCTCCCCCCTCCCACCAGGGGGGCAGGGTGAGTGAGCGGCTGTGTGGTACTTGGTTGCCGGCTGGGCCTAAACCACGACAGATGTTTTTCCAAAGGTGCTTCAGCTCCTGCTATATGACCATGCCCTGTGTCTCTCAAAATCTGACTGCACGTTATCCTTCCTTCCTGAGCTATTGCCCGAAGGATCTGCACAATCCCAGGATTAGCTATTTAAGGGGGGCCAGGTGATGGATGAGGTCGAGTTTCAGCCTGTGTCTTCCTAGGGACTGGAGGAGCATCTCCACTAACTAGTTAAAATACTTGTATAGGTTGGAGTGTAACATCAGGACTGTCACTTAGGCAGACCACTATGTTCCTCATACCCTTTCGTGGTCCCTTTTCAAGCACATTTTCTGTGATTATAAACACAGAACGCTGTAGCTTTTAGGAATGGCAGCAGGAGATTCATTCCAGCTCTGAGCACAAGGTTTTGCACTTCAAATGCAGTGACGAGTGGTGTCCCTCAGGGGTCCGTACTGGGACTGGTGCTGTTTAATGTTTTCATCAATGACTTAGACAGCAAGATCGAGTGCACCCTCAGCAAGTTTGCTGATGACACCAAGCTGAGTGGTGCGGTTGACACACCAGAAGGACGGGATGTCATCCAGAGAGACCTGGACAGGCTGGAGAGGTGGGCCTGTGTGAACCTCATGAGGTTCAACAAGGCCAAGTGCAAGGTCCTGCACCTGGGTTGGGGTAACCCCCAGTATCAATACAGGCTGGGGGAAGAAAGGATCGAGAGCAGCCCTGCCGAAAGGGACTTGGGGGTGCGGGTGGATGAAAAGCTGGACATGAGCCAGCAATGTGCGCTGGCAGCCCAGAAGGCCAACCGTACTCGGGGCTGCATCAAGAGAAGCAGATGGAGGGAGGTGATTCTGCCCCTCTACTCTGCTCTGGTGAGACCTCACCTGGAGTACTGCGTCCAGCTCTGGAGCCCTCAGCACAAGAAGGACATGGAACTGTGGGAGCGGGTCCAGAGGAGGGCTACTAAAATGATCCAAGGGCTGGAGCACCTCTCCTATGAGGACAGGCTGAG